ACCCCCCAGACCCTCTCTCTCTAGAAGTAAACACCGACAACACTTTTCTTGTGTACCCACCCCAAATACTCTGGGCAATATATACATATATACACAATCTCCCTCCATACTCACTGCTACCCAATATTCAGTTTGTCCTCCCATGATAATACTACATTACACAGTAATAATATTCCTGGGAAATGTTACCGCATCAGTTCTATAAGTTTATTCTACTCTTTTAAGCAGTAGTCTAATATTCTATTTTATGGAACTACCATGATTATTTAACCAATTCCCTAACGATGGACTTGGTATTATTTAACTTTGCTAATACTTGGTGTTTAATTCTTAATAACAAAAAGTTTAGTTACCTCTTTGAAAGGAATTAAGTTCAAGGGCTCCCAAAGGCAGTGAAAAATCTTAAATTGCAGATGAGAGAAAGTCAGCAATCCGCATGACAAATATGAAGGAGTTTAGAAAGCTCATTGGTTTTGCAATATACTTTAGGAATATATTTTACTTGCTGTGACAAGGAACTTGACCACTGCTAATCTACAAGTTGGAACACTTGGTATTGTAAAGTTATTTTAATTACAATAAAGGGGATGGTTCTTGGTAGAACACTGGCAAGACAATTCAGGAATACTTTCTTGGATGAGTTTGGGACTCTTTTTTTTTTTTTTTAACCTATCCATAATGGTTGTCACACATCTAATTCAATTAGATTCAGTGAGTTCTGCCCTAATTATTGAAGAATGCTGTTAGATTTTTGTATTTTCCTAAATTCTGAGGCCTTATAATTCCATCTGAGGAACAGGAAGCAGGACTGATTTTACAGGTGACTTTAAAGCTAAATTATTTGGAAAGTAAAAAAGAAGTTTTAACTTGCAAGCATCCTTTGATAAGAATAACATTTCTCTTGTATTGTACATTAATAATGCAAGTTTGGCTTCCAAAGAAGGTGTCACTGAAAGGCAGTCTAGTGTTTTCGATCTCACTGGTTCTAGAGTCAAGCCAGCTTGGGTGGAGCCCTGGCTCTGTAACGTTCTAACTCGTCATTACAGGTAGGCCTCAGTGACTTCATCTGTAAAATGGGGCTACTATTGACCTTATAGTGTTGTTGGTGGGGATTAGATAAGATAATGTGGCATATATACTTACTGTCAATAAATGTGAACCATTATTTAGTGACTACCTAAGAACAACCACAATACTTTAACAACCACTAGTGTTTACTATGGACCAAGTACTACTGGCACTCTCTCCTTCTCTCTCTCACGCTCACACACACGCACATGCACACACACACACACACACACACGCATACTCATTTACACCTCATAGCAACCCTACAAGGTTGTTTACTATTAAGTCTTCATGCATGTCACTCTTTAAAGTGTGCTTTTAGATATATTATCCTTTTCATTCCCACAACCACTATGCAAGTGAGATAGAAAATGGAAAACAATACCAAAAAAGGCCTGGAATTATAATTAACCAAAATAAAATTTAAATTATTGTTTTATGCAGATTGTAATGTTTCACAATGAACATTTCAAAAGAGATTGTTTACAAATTCAGTGTTTACAATAAACTCTGATAGCTCAGAAGTATCATGAATTACACTTTCCTTTTTCATGGTTTTAAACTTAAGGGCTACACTATTAAAATAAACAATAATACATGTTAAGAAGTTATGGAAAAATATAAAGCACTTATTGCTTTATCAGATTCTGCACACTATAAGAAACATATCACTTACCTAGCACCATGAGGAGATATGTTCTAAAGAGCTTAATTTTCTATTAAATGTATGCCTTAAATAGGAATCATTAGAAAATGTAACAAAATGTAAGAAAACAAAACCCACCATTCTTCCATGTCAATATTGACTTGTAATCCCTACTTCTGCTGTGATGAAGTGACAGGGAAGCTGTATAAGAAAACTAGAGATAAAGAAGTTACAGAGGAGGGAGACTGCTTCAGCACCTATTGCCTTTTCCTTGGAGCCCTGCTCTTAGGAAAACTCCATTCAACAGGTACACTTTACCCTGAGGTACCTGAGCCTCATACTTCCCTGAATTGCTGCCTCAGGGTATAGCCCCACTTCACTTCCCACAGAGAACACCTACCTTCAGAACAACTGTAAATTGAAGTCCCCACTGATGTGCTTCCTGTTCCTCAGATGGAATTATAAAGCCTCAGAATTTACGAAAATACAAAAATCTAACAGCATTCTTACAATAAATATGGCAGAATTCACTGAATCTAATTGAATTAGATGTGCATTAGACAGGGATGACAGCCATCATGGTTAGGTAAAAAAAAAAACAAAAACGAGTCCCAAACTCATCCAAGAAAAAGAAATCACGCCAACAAGTTTCCAGATGACCCCAGTGAAGAGCTCTGCACCCAGCCTCAGTGAGACACGGAGGAGCCTTCCCAGCTACTTTTCTAAAGAGGCCTGGACAGTCTTGGACTCCTTTTCCTTGTTGGCCAATACGAGTCTGGAACAGGGCCCTATACCAGAAGAAATATTTTGATCCTGCCAACTGCTTCTTGTCTTTGAGCAGCTGTAGGAGCAGCTGGTTTTACAACAGTCACAGAGTGAGTCCTTGTTCTGAGGTAGGAGAGAGTTCTACGTTTTGTGAGAAACTTATGTTTGGGTCTTTGTACAACTACCTTCGTGAGCTTTAACCTGAGGATTCGGTGTGTTGTGCTTGCTATTTATGTGTCTTGCAAATAGCTAAATGATCTATAAGAGTTTCATGCAGGGGAATCTTCCTTCAACTCTAAAAGTCAAGTTTACTCAATTCTTTGCTTCAATTTGAAACTAAAGAGTCATGAGATAGGAGATCAATTATCCTTGAGCCAGTATAATTAAAAATCATTATTAAAGTGCAGAGCAAGAGATTCAACAAGTTTCCAGAAAAAAACAAAGAACAAAACCTTGGCTACATATAAAAGATCAGGAATCAGAAGCATATGGGACTTCACAACAGAAGCAGCTAGAAGGCTATAGAGTAATACCTGCAAAATTCTGAAGGAAAATTATTGCCACTATAGAGTTCTATGTCTAGCCAAACCACCAATTAAAGGTGAAGGTAGAATAAAAACATTGCTCGGACATGAAGGTCTCAAAAACTTTATTTCCATTCACCTTTTCTCAGCAATAACAGCAAGGAAGTAAAGCCAGAAAGAGGAAAAAGTGGAATACAAGAAACAAGTGATCTAGTAGAAAAGAGAGATGAAGGGAATCCCAAAACTGGTGACAAAGAGAGACTCCAAAATAAAATTTACTCTCTGTGCCTCAGTTCCCTTCTCTACAGAAACTAATAGTACCCACCTCATAGAGTTACTGTAAGGACTCAGCATAAAACACTTATGAATAATAAAAGTAAGAACTACAAGAGTTGATGTTGTTGACGTCATCAAAGAATTGACTTTTCTAACTTGATATATTGTAATAACAAAAACCAGAAATCAGTGTAATACACATTTCTGAACTGAACATATTTCCAGCTTTGTAATGACTGAAAACAGTCACAGAACCATAGGGATTTGGAAGCTGGCAGGGTTCTGAGGTTTTTCTAGTACATATCCTTGTTTTAAAGAGGAGAAAACTGAAGCTCAGAGTGGCTAAGTAATTTCTTAAGACTGCATGGTCATTTAGAAGAGGAGATGGGACCAGCACTTAGGTGTCTCGTGCCAGTGCACTGAATATCAGAAGTATAGCTACCCAAGCTATGTCTGTGGTGTCCCCAGAGGGTCAGAGTTTCACACGTACAAAAAAAAATCATCATAGAAATATGTTACTCAGTTCCATTATTTTACCATAAAACCTGGCACTTCGCTAAATATATCTATTTAAGCAGAAAGACCACATGGAAAAATCAATACAGGGCAATGAAAAGAGGAGGCTATGGCGGGTTTTACTGAGTTAAGTTGACAATACAGGAGAAAATGTTTTGAATTCACCGTCCTACACAGAGTTTTAATTTTAGGGAGGACACTTTAGAGGGCTTACACAAAAGTAAAAATAAAAAAAGTAAGGCATTCCTAATGTCTTGGGTCAATATGGCACAGTTTGGATGGGTGTTTCTGATCCCTGAGTAACGGAGTGGCTAGCGATGCTCTTCCATCTTGGTTTTCTATGTCTTTCTAGAGGAATATACACAATATGTAGGATTAGCAGCTGTTTTGGTCACTGCTTCCGAGGAAATGATGCTCTGGTGGATAGGACCTGGCAATGAGGACTACTGAGCAAGTCTGATGTAGAGCATGAATTTAGAGTCAGGGGAGAACAGGCAAAATCCTGGGAGAAGAGGATTTCCTCCTGGCCTCACTCAGGCAAAGCCCCACTGATGCTCCAGTGACGTTTGAGACGGGAATCAGGCTGGGCAAGAATCTTCCTGACACAGATTCTATGATCTGTCTTAATCTCTTTCCAGCTGAAAATAAGCCCTCTATACATCTGCAGAAAGTCCCATTCAACAGTTTCAGATAAGCTTGAAAATTGCCCACTTTCTTTTCACTGAATCTCAGGGGAAAAGTATGTGCTAATTTCTCATCTTCAAAACAATGAAAATTTCTATGCTTCTTGAATATTTATTACAAACACATTTGTAACTACTTTTGTAGTAATCTAAATATCAAAGTGGTGACTGGCTGGATTAAATACCTCTTAATATCATGATTGTTTAGCTGAGATTTAAAGTGACAGGTCCAAAAATACAAAAAAAATTGCTATTTTCAAATGTTTTAGTCTTTTTTTTTACCAATACTTATTTCAGTATTTTTAATTGATAAAAGATTTCTCCTTCTTTCTTGTCAGCATTATGTGCATTTTGGAAAATCATTCAAGCCCTGAAAGTATGTACTGGTAACTTAGCCAAGTTAGTAAAAAATAAAAAGGAATAAAACTATTTAGAAATATTTCCAATTTCTTCTATGTGATTACAGAAACATATAAAAAAATAAGGTTTTAAAATGGAAAGTACTGTCGTGTCAATACTCACAGGAAAAGTAGAATTCCAGTATTTGCCAGGGCAAAGGCAAGTCCCAAAATCCCACTGCCCATAATGGCGTTGCTTAGGTTAAAAACAGACATGCCTAAGGAGGTTGTTCCTGGAATCTGAACAGAGAAGCAAACATTCACACTAAGCAAAACAGTCCCCAAGAAAGTTCAACAAGCCAAATTAAAGGAGTCCCAAAATCCCACTGCCCATAATGGCGTTGCTTAGGTTAAAAACAGACATGCCTAAGGAGGTTGTTCCTGGAATCTGAACAAAGAAGCAAACATTCACACTAAGCAAAACAGTCCCCAAGAAAGTTCAACAAGCCAAATTAAAGCACCATTAGGAACCAATATAGAATTAAGATTAAAGAAATCCTCCCTTAGTGGTCTAGTCCTTTTTTTCTTTTTAATGGGTTTTAGGAGAAAATACATTGGATATGAGGAATATCCTGGTGAATATAAATAGTTATACTTTTGGTACTATACTACATGAATTAAAAACATCTGTCTCAATTTATTTGATTAAGAAAATAATTATACTTTGTTATAATGACACTTACATATTCATCACATTTCTTTTTTTCCAGATGGCTGTTTGTGAGACTTCTTCTACTTTCACGGTCAGAAATAAACTTGCTGTAAAGACATACATAATACATTTAACTGCATGATAATGATTTGAAGCTTAACATCATGACTAAATGGTTTATTACTTACCTAAATATATCATACATGAAAAGTTATCAATCGGTTCCCCGTGAGTTTACAGCCACATTCAACCACCACCTCCTCCCTTCCCTCTCCCATTTTTTTGGCCAATATTAGTTGTCTACATTCTTGTCTATAAATAGACAAGAAATAAACTATAAGTGCTCCAAGGTCAGGTACTTTGCCTCATTCATTTTATATCTCTCATTCTACCTGGTACAAAACATTGCCAAAAATAGGAGCTCATCTTGAGATGAAATAAAAACCTACCATAAGTCAAAAAGAGCTATAGACTTTGAATCATGTTAATAATAAAACACTATATATAATGTAAGTTAATTTTCATATAGATTTTTCTGTGAGTGGAAAATTAAATACTATAAGACTACCATAAACCTGGTATTTAAAAGAATACTAGAGACAGAGTTCCTTCTGAGCTCACATTCTTGGAGTACAAAGTTATGAAATAGAAATTCTCTCTCCTCTGCAAAAAAGAAAACAATTGTTTCACCATCAAACATTCCTTCAGCACCTGATATATGCAAGTCTATATGCATGGAACAGACAATGGGGGGACGTGAAAGGATGCAGACACCAGGCTATAGGAGTTCAGGTGAGGAAATTACGGTGGGCGAGGAGGTCGGGCATATGGGCCATGGTTGAGGTCGAAGCCAGGGCTTTAAAAAA